GGGTCAAGGAAGGGAGAAAGAGCCTGAAATTACAACATTTTTGTTTAGAATTTAGATTTTTTTGTTTCATTTTAAACATTCTAAAAGGTGGTGGTGTTTGTTTGTTTCCTTTGAAATTCTCCCACTTGATATTTACCATTTTTGACCAGCCGCAGCCAGAAATGTCCCCACTAATTAGGCATCTCAATTTAAAAAAATAAAATATATTATTCAGTGACTACTCCTAAACCAATAGTACCTCCTAAACCAATAGTACAGGGCAAGGCAGTGTTATCTGGGCTAAAAATCCAATATCAGCTTTACCTTGCCTTGTCTCAGATGCCTATGTATTGCAAAATACATTTAAACTGACTTCTGGTATGGTTGGATTAATTCATCCCTTGCATAAACAAGTGCAACTCCAGCTGAAGTCAATGGGAATTATGTCTATTTACCCTCAGGATTCTCATGTGGAAGCTCAGATGGAATTGCATGGTTTAACTTGAAGTTTGTGCTGGCGTGAACATTGCAAGTCTTTGGTTTGGATATGTAGAAGGAAATAGTGATTTATATCGAAGCCTGCCATATTATTCACATGCAGGTAGTTCGTGCAGTTGAGAGTGCCAGACAGGCCCTGTTAGGACCTGCCACAGTAGAATCCCTGCAATGGTTGTAGTTGGTTTGACAGTATCACATTGTATCCATTGTAGCTGGAGATTTTTCTAACCTTCCACCTTACAAACTACCTTTTGGATGGTCCCCAGTATGGTTTAATGCATCTGTAGCCCTGTTCAATGTAAATGCAAACCTCGTTACATATGTGACTAGCTGGCAAGAGTTTTGAACAGTTACAAACCTGAATGCAGATAGGGTTGAAAAGTAAAGGCTGCTAAAGGAATCTGAGAGAGAAAAGCCCCCACTGAAGAATGCATTGCTGCCTTATGCAGTGAGGAGTGCTGGACAAAATATGTGTAGTTAATTTGTCAAATCTAGACCTTTTTCCACTTGCAGGTTGCTGATGAGCAAATTGCCATGTCCAGCAATTTGTTCATTAGTTGCTGCTATTCAGTGAACATTTGGTGTAAAGATAATTCACCTCACAAACTGTTTTCTGTAAGTAATTGTTCATCAATAGGCTGTTTGATTGGCTGCCTAGGTCACATTGTTTTTCTGTCCCCTGATTAGATTATAGTAATTTTTATACACAGGAGGATAGCCTGAATTAGTAACTGGGGCTTTGATACTCTCAGAAAGGGAGTGCAGGGTGCAGCAATGCAAGAGAAATTAGGGTTTTGTGAGAAATGTTTGAACTTTTCCATAACTGTTCCACAGCAGCTGTTATTTCTGCCACATGATGCCAGTCCTAACTGTGTTTACAACCAATTAATACTAAATTTTCCTCATCATGGTAACTAAGAGTATTGATACATGAACATAGGAGGCAGTCCTATTTTGGAAAGACATGTACACAATGCTTTTCATTTTGTTTGATTAATTGCTAGTACTATTTTGATGTCCTCAAGAACTTCAAAATAAAAAACAAGTAAGCCAAATATTTATGTACAGCACTTATCACACTTCTTGTGCAAATAAATGTTCTTGTGTCAACATCCACAAATACAAATTTGTTCTGAACATTAGCCTTGCTCATATGAATATTTGTGGGAAGTGTGTAAGAAAGTTTGAATATAGTCAAATCCAACTCCATTGAAAATGTGGGAGAATGTTTGAAGGACATATTTTAGAAGTCAATGAGACTTAGCACCTGGGCAGTAGGACACTTACAATCCCAATCACTTACTATCAGCATGCAGTATTTTCATAGTAGTCAACGTTCCATTGCTATTAAGGGCTGTTCTGCACACCATTTTCATACCAGTTAACTATAGGAGTTGAGATAGCTCTCTCCTGTAAATTTACCAGAGCTGTCTAAGCACCTTTATATCAGTATAACCACATCAACCCCAGGGGATTACACCAGTTTAAACTATAACCTTTTCTATACAGCAGTTACAGACCCTGGGCACAGACAAGACCTAACAATTAATTCCAGCTTTAGGTTCTGTTTCAGGAAAGGATTTAACCATGTGTTTAATTTCAAGCATGTGCTAAATCTTGTTTACTTCGGTGGGATAGAGCACATGTCAAAGTACCTTTCCTGAATAGGAATCCTTTCCTGAATGATCTTTTGTGGGTGGGTGGAGCCCTCCCCCCTAGGCTAAATCTCAGGGCCTTTCATCTGTTGGAGGTTTCTCACCTTCCTTGGATGGAAAGTGGGGGTTTTCCCCTTTAACCAGGATGAGGTACAGACCACAGTCCCAAACTCGAAGGATCCCTATTGTGCAGAATGGGTGACAGGGCCATCCATGATGAGGCCCTTTGCACTCACATATCCAACATTCCCTAATGGTACTGCAACTGTGGATTGAGATCCCAAATACTTATCTGAGAAACATTTTTGACTGGTCTAATAGGGCACATCTACACAGCAGGGCTAAAGCTGAAATAAGATATGCAATTTGAGCTACGTCAGTTGTGTAGCTTAAGTCAAAATAGCTTATTTCAGCTTTTGGCGCTGCCTACACAGCAGGAAGTTCGAGAAAGAGCACTCTTCTTCTGACTTCCCTTACTCCTCATAAAATGAGGGTTACAAGAGTCGGAGTAAGAACTCCTCCAGTCCTCCAGCTCAACGTTGTTTCAAAATAACTGCTTGCAGTGTAGACGTAGCCATAGTGAGCTAACCAGTTTTTAATGGATCTTTATGTTGCTGATTGTGGCTCTGGGTAACTGAGTTTTGGGGCCATTCTTCAGGTGTGCAGTGTGCTGGAGAGTCTGGAACAGGAGTACAGAAGGGACGAAGATTGGTGCGGAGGTCGGGATAAGCTTGGACCAGCAGCTGAGATAGACCACGTCATCCCCCTTATAAGCAAACATCTGGAACAAAAGGAGGCTTTTCTCAAGGTCTGACCTTACTTTTCTAATTGCTCAGAAACCCCTTCAGGCTTGGAAGAACAGGGTTATTATGTATTATTATACTAATTTACTTTCGAGGAGGCAGAGTAGTTTAGAGCAGTGTTTTTGTGCTGGCAGGGTGGGAGGCTCCAAGTTCTAATGCCAGCTCTCCTGACTTCATGTGTAACTTCTGAGCAAGTTTCCCACCTGTATAAAGAGTCTAGAAATACTTATCTCATAGAGGAATTAAAAGAATGAATTAGGAAATATTTGAGTTACAGTTGGAGCATGTTAATTGCCACAAGTGGAAAGTATTATTTGTTCTCACAATAATTTATTAGGAAAATGTAAAATACAGGATAGCACAGGCATTTCATTTTGCTTATTTCAAATTTACAATTTTTAGAATTCCATGTAACTAATTAATTGGAGGTGAATGAAGAATATTTCACCTCCACAGGCAGCACCGCAGTGAATTCTGGGCTTTCTGTCTGACATCCAGGTGTTATGCCATGTGAGTTGCTGAGCTGGCCGACTTGAATGTCAACTAACCAGCAGCACCCATTATAAATGATTCTGTGTATGTAAAATTACTCACATAGGCCAATATTAAAAGTGAAAGCTATAGATCATTCATTGCATTGTGCAGTGAGCAAATTTCATGAGGCATTAATTGGCACATAGCACCGGAACAGGTCTCCTGTGTCATCAAGTTCAGTCCTTGCTATCACAGGCAACTCTGTCATCTAATCACATTCATAAATTCACCAGACAATTTCTGCTAGATTGAAAATATATGTAATGTACCAGATCTCTGCACAATTACTTTATTAATATCATTAATTTGCTTCAGAAAATCATCAGCCCCTGTTTCTATATAGTCGGATATTTTAATAGTGTGCAATGCACCATCCATGAGATTGTTAGTTTTAATGATGAGGAATCCTGTGACACCTCGTTGTTTTTTCAGATACAGACTAATATGGCTACTCCTCTAAGAACTGTTAATTTAGTGGGTGATGTGTGGTATGTCTGATTGTCCACGTTTCGTGTCTGTTGCTCTCCAGAATTCTTTTGTGCATGAGACCCTTTTCCTGGAGGTGAATAGAAAATATTCACCATTCAATAAATTTCTTTTTGGTTGTTTTTTTTTGGGGGAGGGAGGGCAGATGGACTTTTGCAATGGTAACTCTTCTCTGGGGGCGGGTTTCCATAGGCCTGCACATTAGCACGAAGGAACGCTGAAGTTTTCCTCAAGTACATTCACAGGAACAATGTCAGCATGCCTGGAGTAGCAAGCCATACCAGGGGGCCTGAGCAGCAAGTGAAAGGTTGGTGCATTGAGGCAATGACAACATTACAGGTTTTTCTTTTACCAACCTAGACATCTCATCAGCCTAAGGCTTCTACAGACATATCATAAAGGAGCCCAGAAATTTACTACCTACTATAACTGAAACAACATCCATTATCATTAACTTTAACAACAACATTATGGGGCCTTTATGAAGGAGTTCCTTTCTTCATTAGACTGAGTTTCTCATAACACTAACTCTTATCAATGTTAAATGACCTCAGAAAGCGCCTTCAAACACCGGCTCTATGGCTCCTCTCATTTGGATGGGAAAGGCAGAGAATCACAAGGTGCAGTTCCATGGACCTTGTGATACAGAGGTCAGACAGGATGATCATAAATACATTTTGGCATTTATATATGTCAAAATAGGAATAGACACACATCAGGTATAAGATCTCAATACACATCTCTCCTGCCAAGACAAGCAAAAAATCAAAATCAAAATATTCTTGTCATTGAAATGCAACTCAATTCATTTTTATGCCATTTTTGTATGATCATACTGCCATGTCAAGTTCTAACCCCACTATTCTTCACTAGTCTCTTTCACTTGGTCAAAAGAACATTGTTGCAACATGATGCTATATTTGAAGTTTTAGCCTCCACTCTTCATTGAACAGTTGCTAGTCTGCCCCCAGCAATCGTGTGAAATGCTGCTAAATAGGAGCCAAAGTGAATCTGCAGAACTAAGCCATTTTTTAAATATTGAATTTACTTGTGAAAGCTGTAGAAAGGAGCAGATGAATGGCAATACAGATTTTATATATAAACTCTGCAAATGAGCGGATATCCGCTTTATTTCTATTTGTATATAAGTGTCTTGTAGACTCTGGGCCTTAGACCTCAAGCTGGGCATGACTGGGCTGGCTATTGCCAAATAGGCTAGTCCACACTAGCTCCCCATGTGGACACACTACTGTGGACTAAAAATCAATTTATTCCAGAATAATTAGTGAGCTTCCAAAGCACTGTTATTATTCTGGAATAAAATCACTTTTAATTTGGAATAGAGAATGTCCACCTGGGGAACTATATTACTTTATACTTGATTCCAGTCAATATTTTTGTGTTAACAGGCCCAGTGACCAAAACTTCCATTGTCTTATAAAAACAGCTGTAGGATTTTGCTTGCTGAGAGTCTGGCCAGCAAATCTTCATTTTTAAATTAATGTGTGTCATGCACTGGCTAAGTGTGTCACATCCCTCTCAATGGTTCCCATAAAGGTGACACCTATTCTTAATCATTCTGTAGCTCAAGAAATAGAGGCCTGTGTTTTGGTTGTGAAGGGCCTGTCCCCATTGTCAAGTCTACATAGCTTGGGTTGACACAGGTTAGAAGATAACATATGCCTCTTTAGGGCATTAAGTAACAGCAAAGCTACGTCAGCTGCTCCAAGGCCTTTGGACTCAAGATTGCAGTCATCTGCATAAAGCCCTATACCACCTCACTTTGTGGAGAGGAAAGGGGAGTTAATCAATGTGTAGTAGTGGATCCTCAAGTCCTGTCCTTACCCTCCCAAACCAGAATTCACTGTAAAGGGCTGCAAATTGGCCTCCAGAGTTTCCAGCCCCTTCACCGGCTCCACAAACCTTATGTTCCCCATCTAGTGGAAATTTGCCGGTTTGTTTCCCCTGCAGAGGAGAGGCACCATTTTTTCCATGAGGACTGAACCTGATTCCTCCCTAAATTGTGCACAAGTATTTGATACTTCTAAAAGGTCATTTCTTCTGCTTGGACTAAGATGCTATCCAGTATCAAGCTCTCCACCGGGTAGAATAGAGTAAAAGTGCAACTTTTCTTTTCCTGTTGCTATTATTCTGGACCTCTGAGTGAAGCAGCAGGCTAGAACATGCAGTGAAGTTGCAAAAATAATGTGCGTCAAGTTATGTTGGCTCTAAATTTAACTAAACTCTATTTTGGCATTTTCTACATCCCCCACACTAGGGTATGTCTAGACTGCATCTCTCTGTTGCCAGAGGGATGCAGATTAGACAGGTCGACATTGCAAATGAGGCAGGGATTTAAATATCCCGTGCCTAATTTGCATAAAAATGGCCATCGCGTTTTGCCGACTCGGCACTTTGTCAGCAAAAAGCAGCAGTCTAGAGGGGGATGTGTCGAGAAAGAAAGCCTTTTTCGACAGATTCCTTGTGCCTCCTGCAAAGAGGTTTACAGGATCTGTTGAAAAAGGCTTTCTTTCTCGACAGATCCCCCTCTAGACTGCCACTTTTTGCCGGAAAAGTTCTGAGTCAGCAAAACGTGGTGGCCATTTTTATGCAAATTAGGAATGGGATATTTAAATCCCTGCTTATTTGCAATGTCAACCTGCTTAATCTGCATTCCTCTGCCAACAGAGGGATGCAGTCTAGACATACCCTAAGTCACTAATGCCTGGTAATGCTGAAACTGGTTTAATTGTTACTAATATTGATTTTTTTTCAATTGAAAAGAAAATTCCCCAAGTTCCCCAGAATTCCGCCAATTTGTTTTGCATTTTTTAAACCACCTTTCTTTAACTCAATGTTTTGTTAAGAAGGATGGTCTGAAGGTCTCTACTCCAGCAAGGTTACGCTTGTGACTGGGAAATGAGCTCAGGCTTATGTTGGTTTATATCTGAGTCCAGTATAGCCCCATTCTGTTTGACTCCACAGCCATTCTGAGTGAGCTGCTGCAGAGAGAGAACCGGGTTCTTCACTTCTGGACTTTAAAGAAACGGAGATTAGATCAGTGCCAACAATACGTGGTCTTTGAGCGCAGTGCCAAACAGGTACAGTAAAGACCCAGTCCAGTCTGGGGTTTTTAATCGGTCACTGTTATATCTATATCACCATTTTGTGCTGGGCTTTTATTGCCTCTCAGGATCATATCTCCACTCTCTGATTTGTAACTGATAAATAGAAATGGCAGGGAAAACCCTACATCTTGGAGGTATTTAAAAAAAAAAACAAGAATAAACATTTTATTAATTCAAATGCTCAGCCAGCTTTGTTCGGCCATTTGAAAGCAAGTAGAATGAAACATTAAAATACATGCTTAAGCCCCTCAATGAAAAGAGCTTCAAATATAACTTTCTCTGTCTTACAGAGTACACTGAGAGAGCCAACAAAACTGTGGACTAGTTACAAAAAGAATTTGTAAAGTTGTATGAATTTCTCCTTGTTAGTGGTAATTAAGGGAGTCTGACATAACCCAGGAAAGTCTTATGTGAATGTAACTTGAAGTAAGGGGGATTTTCCTGAATTACAGATTTTGACTGCAAGGGTCTGGAACAGTGAGGTATAGCCAGAAAAGTATCTAAAATTGAGACATGTGTTCCCACTGTTATTATAGCCTTTTGTGCCTTCTTCCAGTTCCAGGGCCAAATCTAACAAAGAGGTGTAAGGTGGTAAATTATGTGTTGGCAAGTGGGTGTAAGTCAGTCTAAGGGTACGTCTACACTGCATGCTTATTTCAAAATAAGCTAATCCGGAAGAAATATTCCGAAATATCTTATTTCATAATAGCACATCTACACTTCAGGGAAGCCTTGAAATTAGTTCGAGGCAGGCTCCCCTAATGTGGACATGCTACCTCGATTTAGAGCCCCAGGAAGCACCAGGGAGTAATTATTTTGAGTGGCCCTAGGGAAGAGCTATTTCAAAATAGCAGCAGTGGAGTATCCACACTACTGCTATTTCAAAATAGGCGCTATTCCTCGTGGAATGAGGTTAACAGAAATCAGAATAAGCCGTCTATTATTTAGAATTTATTTTGAAATAACAGAATTGCTGTGTAGACTCTTGCATTGTTATTTCGGAATATTGGCCATTATTCCGAAATTACGCTGCTGTGTAGACGCACCTCAACTGAATATAAGGAAATATAAAGGTGGAAGTCTCTACAGCCTTTCCCTTGTGTAGTCATTTTATAATAGTGCAAAGTGCTTATTGTTGAGTGACAGGAGAATTTTGACCAGCTAGCGCTTTACACTGTTTATCTTCTGCATATGGTCCTGCCATGGGGGCAGGAGACTGGACTTGATGACCACTCAAGCTCCCTTCAAGTTCTAGTATTCTATGATCCTATGATTTATTTTTTTTTTGGCATCTATCTTCTTAATATCTGGGTCACGGGTGCCACACAAATATGTGGTTTTGAATTTTGTTATTCTTACAACCCCCTGTGAGATAAGGAAATAATTGATTTACAGATGGAGAACTGAGGCACAGAGAGACTTAGGGTATGTCTACACTGCAGGTAGACACCTGTGGCTGGCCTGTGCCAGTTGACTCAGGTTTGCAAGGCAGAGGCTAAGGGGTTCTTTAATTGCAGTGTCAATGTTCTGGCTCAGGGACCATCTTACCAAGCAGGGTCCTAGAGCCTGGGGTCCAGTCTGATCCCAAACATCTACACCACAATGAGACATCCAATTGGCCAGAGCCCCACATGCCAGAGTCAGCTGGCACATGCCAGATGGGAGTGCCTAATTACAGGGTGATCATACCCAGTTGGCTTGGCCAAGGCCACACTGGAATTCTGTGGCAAAATAGAGAATTAAACCTGCGTCTCCTAAATCTCAGATTAAAGCCCTCACTGCTGGACTTCCACTCATCCTTCCTCCCTTCTCTCCTTTTCACAGGCATAAATCACTAAACAGGCAAGGCAATAAAGAGTCAGGCCTGATATTTGTGCAGCTTGCATGTGAGGAGGCTGGACAATTTAAGAAAATGCTGGTTAATAGGTATAAGAGTTGGAGTGGGGAGGACTCTCACTCATTCTCCTGGCAGTTGTTTTTCCCAGTACAAGCCTTCTTTCTGGTCCCACTCCAGTTGCACGGTGCCCTCCTCCCAGTATAAAGTATATGGAAATGCAGTTGTTTTGCCCCCATTAAAATTCTCCGTGTAAGGGGGATGCCTGGATTGTGTTTAGCCACTGACTGTAGTGCAGCTGAACCAGAGAATTACTCTCACTTAAAATCCCATAATTCACTCATTCACTGTCAAGTAATTTATGCCACTTTACATATCACCTCTGAATCTGGCCATCTGCTTCAACTGATGGGTTCTCTTAATGTGTCCCTTGACTGAGTATGTTTTCATTCACAAAACATGAGGTCTCACAGGAACTAAGATCCTTCATTTGTAAGAGTTTTCATAAGAGGAATAATTTTTTAAATACACAAAACTATTTTTTAATTTTCTTTGATTGCTTCTGCTATTCCCAGGCCTTAGACTGGATCCAAGAAACAGGTGAATATTACCTCTCTACTCACACCTCCACAGGGGAATCAGCAGAAGAAACTCAGGAACTCCTGAAAGAATATGGAGAATTCAGAGTACCCGCCAAGGTAAACAGTTACAACATTCTAAGTATGGCATCTGCTTTTTGTGAGCCTGTGTTTGTGGTTTCTGTATCACACTTCCTTTGTCAAGGGCTTAGAACTGTGCAATAAATATTCTCTGGATTCTGGAATCTGCTGTTGACATTCTTGGCCCAGGAGGGAACTTTTTCTTTTGAGAACTGTGAGAGACAATTTTTTTACCAGTCATGTGCACAAAATGGGATTTTTATATCATCTGTTTTGATGATGGCATAGTTTTGCTCTGTTCTAAAGCAGGAAGAGCTGATTGGTACAAGGTATAATTCACAGGTGTTAAATTTCTAACTTAGACATTGTAAAACTCCAGTCCCAAAGAATTTTGTAAAAAAAAATGATAATTTAGCATAACATAACTGAGGTCACCTTGTCCTCCCTGAATGTTCCTTCTGTAATTACTGTTGCAATTTGTGTAATTGATTCTCTGTGGACTGACTACTTATGGCCATACTCTTCATTAGAAGTGCTCCATTGATCCCAATGAAGTATTTCTAATGAATGGGTGTGTAAATTCCTAGGATTAGTTCTGTTGTATCCTGTGCTTCATGAGCAAGAATCTATTAATTTCTATGGCAGATTTCTGTGGAATTTGGGATTGTCATAGATTGATGATGGGGTTGGAACTGCTTCAGGCAAACAAATCCAAACTAAAGTTAATTTACAGACAAAATACACTGAATCCACCAGGGTATTAGCAATTTAGATCCTTATCTGTGACTGTTAAGTCTAAATGCAGCACCGCACTAGCCTCGGTGTTATGTGGACTCAATCCATTGTGTATAGAAATTCATATTCCTTATTTCTTCATGTGACTGTTCATGTGTGTGTGGGTTTGAATCTCAGACTCCCCTTCCCTTTTTTTAAAATAAAAGTTAGTGAGTGACTAAGTTTGTGCAAATGGAGATTAATAATGACAAATAATTCAAGTGGATACAATGCACTTTTCATACAACAACTCTAGTTGGTTTTCAGTGCCTTAAACAAGTGCCTCTTGCAGACCACTGTTACCTTCACAATAAGATGTCAATGAACCATTTTCCAATTACAATATTTTCTTATCCAAGGTGAAGATGCAAGATCAACAGAACTGATAATTTTGTGAATCACTTGCCTTCTCACAGGGTGAAATTGAATTTAATGAAACAAGTTTAATTTTCTAGTGCTGTTGAGGTGGCCACAGATTATCCCATTCATGTGTCTTTCTAGTGGAACATCTAGAATTGCCTTTAAGTTTTGAAATCTCTTGAAAATGTTGTGGAGCAAAACACATTTGTGTATTCCTAGGTAGATTTTCCAAAGTGCCAAGCTTCTGAAAAACAGGCCATGTAGTATTCATCAGGAAGTACTTTGAGTCTCATTCTGCTTTTGAAGATTAATGTTTGAGTCACGGATGGAACTCACTCTATTTTTTGTACTTTAGACATTTACTTTTATAAGCACTTTTCACCACAGACAGTCTGGGTCCAAATCCAGACACCTTCAATTTCTGGGGGAGGAGTTGGGAATCCATACTTAAAATCCAGCTCTGAATGTTAATATTGTCCCATTTTTCTATAATGGACTGAGCCAATTTCTGATCTAAAACATCCATAAACATCAAATCCCACGGAGCTTATGGCAGTGTAAGAACCTGATTAGAATAAAACTTTTGCAGGAGGTAAGAAGTCTGGGTATGAATTTTATATCTTAGTCACTTTTATTTTTTAATACTGTGATGAGAACTATAGCATTGTTTTACATCTGTATCCAATACTTGTATAGGACTCTGTGACCTCAATAATCAATATAATTATATTCAAACATCCCAGAAATTTCATTCATATTTTAATCTAAAGCAGAAATCAGATACTCAAGCCCACCTCACCAGCTGATGTTTTGAAGTACTGATGACAAAATGTTTAAAAGAGTTACCTAAACATGGATTCAGAATGATTGTGTACAGTATATATTGTGATGGGAAACTTGTATCCACTGTCCAAGATCATAGCTGTTACAAACCAGGCTTTGATATTTCGCTAGGGTTCATGGCATCAAAACAAGAAGTAATAGGTTAAGAAAGAAAAGGTCTGCCAACTTTTCCTCATAGTTTTCCTTTATGCAGTTCTGGTGACTTAACTTTCCATATTTCATGCAAGGGTTTCTCCCCTTGCAAAATGAATTCTATTGATTAACACTGAGTCTTCCTTGAAAAATGGCATTGCCTTTCTACAGGATATGTAGAAGTTTAAAGCTTCTGAACTTTATGTATTATTAAATAAAGTCTTTATTTTAGTATGTGAAAGATTGTGAACTGCATCTGGCTGCTGTGTGAATTAAAAAGAAATCACAATAAACCTGTCATAACTACGGGCCATGTTTTGGGCAGCAAACCAAGGAGAAGGTGAAACTGCTCATACAGCTGGCTGACAGCTTTGTAGAAAAAGGACATATACATGCCACTGAAATCAGGAAATGGGTCACCACTGTTGACAAACGCTATCGAGACTTCTCTCTGAGGATGGGGAAATACCGCTACTCACTGGAAAAAGCCCTTGGAATCAATACAGAGGTACTGTAAGTCAATGTCCTGCTGTGATATTATACCAAGCAGTCCAGAAATAGCTCTGCCTACAGAGAGAAAGCTACTCATTGGAGGTCAGTAGGCTAACAGGCTCATAGTTGAGGAGGAGGAAAGAAGAGACTTCTACACAAATGTTTGTACCCATTAAAAGGAGATCTATGGATACAGTGGGGCAGTGGGCAACAGATTAATCAGGTTAACAATCCATGTTAATTGTATCATAAATCACAACTCTTCTTCCCAGGCATTGGTCTAGATTTCCACATCCCAACCCTTACAGCTAAGGTCTGAGAGTTCCCCATCACATATCTGGATTCTCCAAGGGAGCTATCCAGTGAAGCACAGGAAACAAAAACTCATACTTTGGGTATTTTGTACTGTGGGTAAAAACCTTTAAAACCCTTTCAGGCATTCATGCTACAAACTCATAAAGAACACACACAGTCATCCTCACCAAACCCATAATTTAAAGACCCCTGTCTAGCAGAGGCTTCTATCTTATGCAAACTCCTAATCACTGTCTGGATTGGAATTCCAGGGGCAGAAGATAATTAGAAACAGTTATTGAACCTAGTATAGTGGGAATCGGTATGCTGTGTTTCTTTCTGAACACATTGTAGGATAAATACCTACTAACTTGCCTTGAAAATCAAATTCTTCTGTCCTAGTGCAGGTGAAAAGTCCCTTTAAAACAAATTGGTCTACTCTGAGACTAGATTGAAATACCTTTACACTGGGTAAAGCCTCATTTTCAATTATTGCACTGTTTTTTTTAGTACGGTGCTACTCAACTAATTTAGCCCCAAAGTATAAGGTCTGAAAGTAATGGTAGAGACCTTTGTTAATACATAGTCTTTCCATTTCAAAAAAATTCTTTCCAGGTGAAGCACAATGAAATGGTGCTGTTGATGTCTCTATCTCTGTGTCTTTAATACTTTATCTCTGAATTAGATTCATTTTATGTTTAGCAGTTTTGTCCTATTTTTTTTTTCCTTTTTGTCTGTTTAGTCTTTGAATGTATTATCTATTACATAGCACTGGGATTAAACCCAAATGACAATCTGTGTTGTTGCTGTTTATAGGATAACAAGGATCTGGAACTGGACATCATTCCAGCGAGTCTTTCAGACCGGGAGGTGAAGCTGCGAGATGCAAATCATGAGGTTAATGAAGAAAAAAGGAAATCAGCCAGAAAGAAAGAGTATGTCCCAAAACACACACTGCAACAACACCGAACACGAACTGACCCATTCCCATGGACACAACTCCATAATTCCAGCCAGTTGTGGGGCCACTGATAAATGTCTGTATGGGCTAGAATAGAAATTGTGATTATAGGTTGGAGCGATTTCAAAAGAAGTAGTTTGAATTTCTTTGTGATTAATTATTTCCCAAAAGGTTAATGAGTGAATCAAAGAAGTGGATTAGTACATGCTGGTTGTAATAATTGAGAGATTTGTTATCACTATGGGGTCTTTCTGTCTGCATGACAAGGGGAAGAGAAAGTTAAAATAATATGTATATGAGCAATCAAACCTTATGTCTCAATTAACCTTTTATGATCAAATGGGATGAAATCCTAAATCCACTGAAATCCAGGGGAGTTGTGACATTGATTTCAGTAAGGCCAGCATTTCACTCATGGCGTTTAAAATTCTCAGGGCTTAGATTTAAAAATCTCAGAACTAAAAGTTTTATCAGCCAGGCTAAAATATGGAAAAACTGTAATTTGCAGCCCACACTTTGTCTTAATCTGTGTGTAATTTACACAGATACCCTTTGTCAAGCCTGTGAAATATTTAGAGTGATGGAGGGACTGAATAAGAAGTTGTTTGGGTTTGAGGGGATGTTATATATGTGGTTTCATAAAATATAGGTCTATTTTCAAAATGTGTGGACGTTCAGCATAAGAAACCTAGAACCTACTTTCTTTCAGATGTATTGAACTTCCTAAGCTTTTATTGATTTCAGTTGGAGCAGTGGTTGCTCAGAAACTCAGAATATCAACATCTATTTGTATAAAGTTGGCACCTAATAACTTAGCCACCTAAAGGTTTAGACTGTGCCAATCTGATACAGAGAGTAGTTTACTCCTCAAATAGTTCCAACAAAATCAAAGTACTACTCAACATAAGTATGGGTGACACTAGGTAGCCCATAAATAGTGCATACTTCTACAAATGTAGGTTGTCTAGGCCAACTTCAGAAACCTTATTTATGCAAATCTTCAGTAGACTAGGAGGGAGCCACATGACTAAGGACTTCAGGACTGGCTCAAAGAAAAGACACACCAAATCATTGGAGAAACATATTGTAATTGGATTTTATTCCGAAAGGCTGTATTTGTTTAAAATGTAAAACATTTCATGTGTAAGATTGGTCCCATGTGACTTGAAAATGAGTGATATTTTATTCATAGATTTGGAAGGTTTTATTTATTTTATTTATTTATATTCCACTAGAGCCTAAGTAATACCAGTTAGATGAAAATTAGAGTGGAAGTGCACTGATTTATGACAAAAGTAGAAGAGAACATTTCTTTTTATTAATGCTTTAAGTGTGTATTTTGTCCAAGCTGACTGAAAGATCTTCCTCCTTCCAGATTCATTATGGCTGAACTGCTTCAGACTGAAAAAGCTTATGTCAGGGACTTGCATGAATGTTTAGAGGTAAGTTCTTTGCCCTTTAAAGTCAGAGTACTCTCATTCGCACATATATTTGTGCTTTACAAAGCTGTACAGTAAAGCCTGAGTTTCAATCACTGACTGGCACCTGGAAGGGGCAGTGATAGGGTGCTAAGGCAGATAGGCTGTTCCCTCAATTCAGTTTCTCTGGCCCCCTGCAGTGGTGTACAGGAGAAGACGAAGCATGGCTGGAGACTACAGATAGTTACATTTGCACTGGTGGGAGTATAGGTGCCAACTTCCTCAATTCCCAAGTGGTGCCCAGCCACTACTCCAGGCCCTGGCCCCGTCCCCATCCCCACTCCACACGTTTTCCTAAGGCCTCACCCCACCTCTTACTGCCCCTGCTCCACCCCAAGTCCTGCCCCCACCCTCCTCCTTCTCCCAAGCTCCCACCATGCTTCTACCCACCTCATTCCATTTCCTCCTCTGCTTCCTCCCATCCCCACTCCTCCCCCTCTTCCCTAGCACCTCCTGCATACAGCTGATGAGTGGTGGGCAGGAGGCATGGGAAGGAGTGGGAGGAGCTGATCAGCAAGGCCCACCAGCAGGTGGAAGCCACTAAAGAGGATGACTGATCAGGGGAGGGGCTGTTGATGAGTGTTAAGCACCCACTATTTTTCTCTCTGTCGGCACCAGCCCCAGAGTACCCAGAGTTAGCACCTATGGATGGGAGTTGGGGAAGCAGTAGAATGATCTTTTTTTTTACATTGCCAGAAAGTATTGCAGATACTCTTATGAATATGTCACTGTGTAAATATTTGCACCCCAAGTGACAGTCTGAGCTCTCCTCTGTTTCTAAAAGCTTCATCCATTCAGAGCATAGATTTTCTGTAATTTAAAGTCTTTAAATCATAGTTTAAGGATTTCAGTAGCTTACACAGAGATTAGAGGTCTATTCCAGGAATGGGAAGGTTAGGTTCTGTGGCTTGCATTGTGCAAGAGATCATACTAAGATGATCATAATATTCCCTATTGACCTTAAAGTCTATGAGTCTATGGTTGCCAATACCATAGCATAACTAAGTAACTATGAATAGCAAATACTTTATAACTTAACCCAAAAACTGAAATTTGTTTGTTTTAAACATCCATTAAATAATTTGTATGTAAGATTTCATTAACATTTGAAATCTGTGCCAGGATAATTTGGGAACAGAAAAAGGGGCTGTATCACAATCATAAATACTTGGTGGAAAACAGTTTGCCAAACTCTATTTAGGGTTCAATCTGAGCAAGTCTATGATGCTGACAACAGTAAACAAGGTAAATTTTACAGAAGGAGGTTAGCATTCAAGATCCTACATCTAGAATGTGGCTTTATGCAGAGAATGATAAATGCTTCACTCTTGAGGTTGTGAACTCATCTTACCTTTGAACTGTTTTCTGTCTGTAGTTCTATTTGGGCATCGGCAGTGAGTATTAAGAGAAACAGGGAGCTCTGGTTTTGTCAGCATGATTTCACTTCCTCCTCAGACATCCTTCTCTGTGACAGCACTTTGAATTTCCCGAGACATTTTTCACATCACTGAAGCACTTCCTTTTTATTTCTTTTCAGTTTATTCATTTAATCTCCAAGTGCACATTTCCCTTGTCAGTCTGTGCCTTTGACAGGAAAACAGGAAGCTCTGTTCATTTGCTCTGCACTTCTTGGTGCTAAGAATTTCTTGTGTCTTCCAGACCTACCTTTGGGAAATGACAAGTGGAGTGGAGGAGATACCCCCGGGGATTCTTAATAAAGAACATATCATCTTTGGCAACATTCAGGAGATTTATGACTTTCATAACAAGTAGGTTTTCCTAACGTGTTCAGGAAGGTTCATTGATCAAAAAACAAAATAAAAAACTCCAAACCATTCTATATGCGTGTATAACATGTGCTGAGAACAGATATAGTAGTATTTATAGAAAGGCCTGTAGTTATGGATCCAGACCTGGGGAATACTAACTCTTTCCTTGTTTACTTCTTTTTTTAAAAACCATTAAAACTTTATTCTAAATATGATTATAGCTGATTAAAAACATGCAAGCCAGTCTAGTAATAATAAGATAATAATAATGCTTTGCAGTCCTATTAGCTCTATCCATCTAAGTATCTGTGACCACTCTACAAACAGTAATGAATTAAGCTTTGCTCCACTGTGAAGCAGGTGGCATTAGACTTCTTTTGGGAAAGTTCAGACACCAAGAGGTTATATAGGGTTCCCTCAATTTTGGAGATGGGAAAAATGAGACCTACTTGCATAGTACAGTATATGTACCAGTACATATATGTATCATCGTAACATTTTTCCTATTTAGAAGTTAAAGGTCCAGGTCACTGTTTCCATACAAACCCCACAAAAAAAATCTCGGGTTATAAACTGATTGATGAGATCCTAGTTACCAAATGAAGTTAATCAAAATTAGAGGGATAGATTCTCTAGCCAGCAAGTCTCAGGAAGCAGAACAGTAATTATTATTATTTCTGAATAATTAGATTTATTTATTGTTAAAAGTCTGAGAGTCTCTCGCATTCTTAGCTCATCTGAAACCCACTGCAAGATTTTATCACTCATGACAAATTTTTCCAGCCTGATAAAGATCTTCTTGTGTTACATGAGTCAAACAGAGCATCAACAATCTGGTCCTAAATCAGTGAGACTTTTGGGGAATCATTGTGTTTATGATCATGACATACAAGCTATGCAAACTCCATGATCTACAGTATTTGTGAAGCATTGTCCTTGAGTCGTGTTATGGAACATGATGGGGTAAGCGAGCCTTTAGGACCAATTGTGGTTGAGTGGCACTCATATTGCATAAGAAGTAGGGAGAGTCCTGACCATTACTTGCATGAGGTGAAGATGTGGCCAAAATGGATGACACTTTATTGTAACCGGGATTGCCTAGTTTTATTTCTGAATAGATTTAAATTGGTGATCTTGTAATCTTGGTTAGTTTTGTTTGGAAAAATTGCTTCTTCATACTTGAACGTAATAATACCAATTGGGGGACCTATGTATCTCAAATCTTAACTATATTATTAATACCTTAGGGTATGTCTACACTACCCCGCTAGTTCGAACTAGCGGGGTAGTGTAGACATACCCTGGGCTCTTTGCACTAATGTCATGGGCACAGAATCAAATCGTGTCTCAGTGAAGGACTTGATCAGCCAAATTGGATGGGAACAGACTGCTTGATCTGTAAATCCTATCAGTTTACTGTATTGAGATGAATTCAGTAATGTGAGCCATTTAAATAGACATCTGGAAGCTTGCCCATCAAACATATCATCTCTTGAACAAAGGCTAGAAACAAAAGGAATGGTCAAGGGGAGAAAGTCCTAGAGCCACCTATACTTACAGCTAACCTGTAGTTCCCTACATCAGTTTGGGACTATAACCTCATATTAATCAGATTTCCATTCAGACTTATTCTTCCCTTAGCATATATGAGCACACAATGGGAGTTATATACACAACATCCAAAGGACACTGGACCCCATAATTGCAATTCAAATGAAGACTCTTCAATTTGTACATCATAAAGTAAGGCAATTTTCGAAGCAAACACATCAAAACAACACTTTGCAGTTCTAAGGAACTGCAGTTCTAATGAATTGTCTGCACTTCCATCAGATAAAGGCTACATCTACACTATGGGTTTTGCCAGAAGAGGCAATGCAAATGAAGTGTTGATTAGCATTTTCTCGTACTTCATTTGCATAAATCCGTTTTTGTGCAAAAACAAGCAGTTTTCACATGATCCTTATGCCTCTCGTTTTTGCGCAAAAAGGAAACAGCCACACTGCATGTTTTTCGCAAAAGTCCCTTGAGCAAAAACGGATCAGAATAGATTATGCAAATGAAGCACGAGAAAATGCTAATTAGTGCTTCATTTGCATTGCCTCTTCCGGCAAAACCCGTTGTGTATATATAGCCTTTAAGTGAAACTTCTGCTCTCTTAATATATAAATAGATATATTGCAACAGAAACCATATCATTCTCAGACTGTACAGGTTCAAACTATTTCAGTTACATAAAGAATGATCTATACCTGGTGGATATATAAACTACTAGACCACTTAAAATGCCCAAATTTCTTATTGGTAGAGTCCGTTTCCCCCTCCACTGCCCCCATTTGCTACTTAACTGAGCAATGAGATTGTCCAGTTTTCATCCCAATTCCTCCTTTTCCCATTGTGGTATGCCTCCCATTTGTTGTGTTCGTTTTGAAGCATCTGAGGTTTGTATTCTGGAGATCCAATAGGACTTGCTATCTTAGAACACAGTAGTATATAGCACATACAACTGTTTTCACACCCTGTTATTCGTTCTGTTTGGTGATCCTCATTGCAGCCAAGCATTGGACATAGTGCTTTCCAAAGCCAGAGGAGTAACTTGAGTGACATAAAATTTTCCACATTTCAGCAGAAGATGAACATCCCATGCATTGTTGACCGGTGATAACCTGAGACTAACTCTCAATTCATTAAATTGCTGTCATTGCCTAATTTAGCCTAAAATACTATAGTGGAATGGTGTAGTGGTCAGAAACCATAAACTCCTGTCCTTGCTCTATTGTTGACACACTGCATAGTGTTGGGTAAATCAGCAAGCTTCTCTGATTCATTTCTCACGTGTAAAATAGGGATAATGCTATTAGAAGAGGTTGGGAAGTTTTTAACAAAAGGGTTTTTGACAGAGAATGCCTATTCGTTAAAAATGAATTTTTTTTCATGAAAAATAGTTTTGACAAAACTTTCTTTAGGAAGGTTTCCCAGGTCTGAGAAATGATCCCTGATACCCTAGTGGTTAACAACCCACCCACCCCCACTTTGACTTCGGAGACCCAGATTCACGACCCTACTCTGCTTGAATTAGAGCAGTGGTTCCCAACCTGTGGTCTGCGAGCCCCTGGGGATCCACAGAGGTACTATAGAGGGTCCACATGGAGTCTCTCGCAACCAGCATGTCCTTCAACCCGTGTTGCTTCCTGTGGCTCAGGAAGCAGCGCGAGCTGAGGGACTTGCTGGCTGCCAGCACATCCTTCAACCCGCTCTGCTTCCCCAGCAGGCTGAGGGATGCTGCTCGGGAAGCAGTGTGGGCCGAGGGACGTGCAGACTGCAGGCACAGCTATATTTGGGGGGCGGTCCATAAAATGTTAATAGATTGAAAAGGGTCTGTATCCTCAAAAGGGTTGGGAGCCACTGAATTAGAGCAAATACTAGAATTTGGCAAGTGCTCTGACCCACTGGGCTTTTGGCTATAATGGGGTAGGTCTTTCTTTTTCTTTTTTTCTTTCTTTCAAAAATTGCAAGAGGTCACTGTTTTGTGCTGATTCAGAATGGGAAGATTTTTGAAATTTCAGAAATGTTCATAGATGGGCAAACTATTTCCCAACCTTCTCTAAATATCCCCCTGACAAGGTTGCTGTGAAGATGGGTTAGTTCATACCTTCATATCATGTTGTTGACCCTACAGCATTATTCCATTGCTAATGATTATTTGTAATGAAGATACTTTTAATAGTTATCTTAGCATGAGTTAGATATTTAGCCATACATAGTAACTAACTCTAGCTCTCTCTCACGTTTTCAGCATTTTCCTGAAAGAACTAGAGAAGTACGAACAACTGCCTGAAGATGTGGGTCACTGCTTTGTCACTTGGGTAATCAGGCTTCCTGCTTCACCCTTTATTATCTCTCCAAAACAGGAGCAAGCTAGAGACTGGTGCAAATAATACTTTCCTAGTGATGAGTGCTGGGTATTTAGGGCTATGTTGTGACATGGAGTGCACATCCACACAGAGAAGCAAACGGAACATTTGCCTCCCTGTTTGTTCCTTCCCGGCAGCTGCGGGAACTAAATCCCTCCATATCACACTACCCCAGCCAGGAGCGGCCCTAGACGAGCTGCTGGCAACTGGCACCCTAGGCAAAACAGGCGATCGTCACCCCCACCTCCAAACCACTCAATGGCCATTTAATTTGGCGCTCTAGACAACCGCCTAGTTCGCACCTATGGACAGGCTGCCACTGCCACCAGTTTTCCTGTATTCTTTGGCTAACCCAGATAAACCAGTCTGGGTGACAAGTGATACAGGCCAACCATAAATTACTACGGCCCATGAGAGCAAAAGGGAAGTAGAAAGGCATTGTGGCCCTATTTGGCACTCAGGTGACCAGAGTAGGTGTTTGTGTAACTCACCCATGAGCCAAAATTCTTTCCCTGGGATGTTTCTGAGGCACCACAATGGTGGGCAGTGCATTTAACTTTGTAATAATCGCTTCAAGGCAGAAGTAAACTTTTTCAGACACTGTTCGTGTTTTACCAACAAGTTGTTATTAAATGGCCCATCTCCTTTAAGGGATTGGTCTCTGTAGAGTCTAACGCTTACTCAGTATCCCAGAATACATGTGACAATGTTTGCACGAACCTTCGCTCTGATGTTACCTGAAGATTTGTTATAGAAAACGATACTGGTTTAATATTTGGTGCACCTCATAGGCCTCCCAGCTGTTCAGCTAGAAGAACACAGTTTGACTTTAATTGTTCTATTTAACCTACAACACTCTCATTAAAGTCACAGGAACAAGTTTACTGCATGTATTTATTCTGCTGAGCCTTAGTGGATGATTGTGGGAGCAGAGCAATAGTTTACCTTACTTTTCCCTTTATGTTTGTTTTCATAGGCAGATAAATTTCAGATATATGTCACCTACTGCAAAAACAAGCCTGATTCCAGCCAGCTCATCCTGGAGCATGCAGGGACTTTTTTTGATGTAAGCAGTTCTTGGTGTTCTCCACCAGACCACACACTATTGCTGAAAAAGAAAATTTTAACATTTGTCCTTTTTCCTCCTTTGGTATTTGATTCTTTCCTTCCATTGCAAAGATCAAATCTGGTTTTCCACTGGATGATGCATATGTGAATTGTGTGATGTATAGTCTTCATCACTGGGGAAACTTGGTCCTAGTAGGGTTGGGCGATCCTTATGGGAACAATCATCTGGTTTTACAGTCATTTTAAGTTTTCACATGGTTCAGAGTTCCTCTGGGTCTTCTGGTTCCTGTGATAAAATCAAACAAGAGAGTCTGAGTTCATTTTATTTATACTTTGAGATGTCAAAATCTAGTAAGGGGATCTCGTTTCACTACAATTCCAAGATAAGAAGCCAACCCTGAAAACACTTACTGAACACTTGCTTAAGCATGACAATTGGTTAACCCATTGAGTTTAACTGAACTATGCCCAGTAATAAAGTGCTAACCTGATGATAAGTGTTTGCAAGATCCAGCCCCAGTTTAACAGACAGAGGTGGATCAGATAAAACATTCATGCTTTTGGATTCTTTGAACTAAATGTGTACACTGAACCTCTGCAGTCTGGTCCATCTTTCATCCACATTAACACTCTGTTATTCCAGTCCTTTAGGGAACACTGTGGTTTGTCCTTACAATTTTAAATACATCTCCTTTCCTAAACACTAAACATAGTCAGTTGCAAACATAATCAGTCAGCAGGGTTCCCACTCGTGCAGCTGATACCATGGTAATAACTGTATGAATCAACTCATGTGAACTCGTTATCAGCCATTGATTAAATTGTTTCAGTTAAACTCAGCAGTTAGAGCTCTTAAGTGAACCAGAAAAATGAAGAGTATAATAATCCTTTTTAAAAGTAATTTGCTTTGGACCACATAGTGCTCTTTGTGAATTAGCCAGATCCTCTTGCTAAAAGTGTATTTGATAGTTAAATAGTTTTACCAGCAGGTGGCACTTGAGCCTATTTAATAGTTTAGAAGTGGCTTCCTTGGGACTGGAACATTTGAGAAGATTTATCTTTATCAGTGTGTTCACACAGATTAAAATGTATTTGCTCAGCTAAGATCTTCCATTACTGCTGTGTACGTTCTCTGGAAATCTTTTTGATAGTGCTTAATGCTGCAAGTTAAAATTTCAACGTATTGATGTTTTGCAGTGGCAGTTATGCTTTTATGCTGTAAATGTAGGGGTTCTCCTATGCTGAAAAACAGCTTAGTATGCAAAGGGAGAAAAAGGACATGCCAGAAACACAGAAGGATAAAAGGTCTCCATAGTTCCATACCTTATGAAGTTGTTTACCCCAGGGCAAAGTGCTTGTGAAACTTTCTCATTTTGTGGTGGTTTGTATTTATTTTGCTGTAGTGTAAATGAGTGCACAAGTTGCAGGGCGGTGGAGAATCAGGTTCTTAGTGTGATATAAAGGGAATTAAATTCATTGTTCAAATTCCTAATGAAATTTGGAAACTATCTACCACATTTTGCTAAAAAGATCCTCTCTGCAATAATAATCTCCCATGTACATAAAAATGCTGAGGATCCCAAAGCACTGCACAAAGTTTGCAAACAATGGAATTACTCCACCCACCACAGAAATGAAACCACCAATGGAAAGAAATTAGCAGTCTTGTAATGGACTTCATTGAACACCCATTCAGGTCAATGGGAATCTTCATTTAATTGTTTAATTGATCTATCCCTAAATGCACATGACATTGCTAATCACCAGTTTAGGACAGGAAGTAAGGGAGACTGCCATATTTATCAACTCTGAAACAACAGGAAGAATTTAAGAGGTAAGAATATAGTTGAAATTGAAATTGAAATTTGCTTGGTATATTGAAACTAGCATTCTTATTCTTTTCAAAATAGCTATGAATTCTAACTGCTCCCACTTCACCAAACTCTTATACCTGTTACATTTGTTCTTCTGTAATACCTAATTGGGTATACCATAGCATTACAAATGTGAATATTTTCTTCATCCAGTACCTTCAGAGATCACTGATGTCTAGTGGCATTGGGAATTTCTATGACAGTTCTTGAATGAAATATATTCTCCAGAGTCACCAGATATAATTGTGATTAGTCAAAGAAGCCAGCTCCCCAGCTAGTGCAAATCAGCATGGCTTTGAAGTCAGTGGAGTTATGCCAGTTCACACCAGCTAAGGATCTGGGATATAGATAAGAAACAGTTGATCCCTGTTTCTCTCTTCCCTCTGCCTTGTGGACTGTTTCTCTGTATCTGACTCAGTTTAAACAATAACAGATCTGAGTACTGCTTTCTTATTTAAACTATCATGAGCAAGCTCTCCTTCTGGGAGTGTTCGAGCATGTCAAGGAAAATTTGGCCAGAGCATAGACAGGCGTGTATGTCCAAAAGGATGCAGAGAAAGTACAAAACAGGGAGGCTCTGGTTCAAAGAGTTGCCCATATTCTTCCCCTTGCTTGAAATTTTTTCCTTTCAATCTTAGAAAAAGCTCAGTGTGTTAATTTAGACCTGCCCCAGGCACCTTTGACTTGCATGACCAGCATGTACACAGCATAGATGGTAAGATTCACTGACCTTGGCAGTGTTACAGGGACTCATATTTCCACATGGATGGAGTGTTCTTGAGCAATTTCTCTAATGAACTAGAGGCAAGATTTTCTTCCTCGGGAGGCAGGCAGGATCCTTGTCTCGCCATAGTTAATTCTTCAAGAGATTATAGTCTTTCCAGCAGCCACATGCTTTACAAAAGATCCCACTTCACAGATGAAGCTGAACTCCTTTATGCCCCATAGGCAGTATCACACAGCAGAAACGGCTCGGGATGCAGCTCCACACATTTGTCATTGTGTGGATGGCCTTTTCCTGGTTAAATCTCCTGACTCACCATATCCACCACTCAGCTTGTATCCACTCAGCAATTTTGCTGCCCTCCTCACTATGTTTGCACATCTACACCTGCCTTGCTTTCTGTGTGTTTTGGCATCAGTGCATCAGATACAGGGTGAGAGTCTGTTTTCATTTATTAGACATGTAGCAAGAACTTGCAGCTCAGTGGAAGAGGGGAAAGGTAACTTTAAACCTGGTCCTGGGTATCTCCTTAACCCCATGTGTAACTGTCTTAAGTAGCCTGTGTGGCAGCACTGCCCAGAATCTCTACAGTGCCATGCTCTGTGATCCCACTCCCAATATGATCTTCCTTCCCTCATCCCCATGCTCTGTATGGCTCCTATGACAAGCTGTGTGTAGGGGTCCTCCCAAGGCTGCCTTGCAGCTGTCTGCCTCTATGCGGTGCTGGGGAAATCCTCTCTGCACAGAGACTAAGACTTTTAGGTCCCCTCTGGTTCATTCTGGCCTTAATCATTGTAAAAGGGCTGGGCAGATGTGACCATTTCCAGAGTGAATCTGCAGGGGCTGGCGTATCCTTGAGTGTCCTACTGCACCCAGAGCTGGGACACAGAAGGGATAAAGATTAGTTAAGCAATGCAAATTAAATGTGCTGAGCTGTTTCCAGGAAAAGAATCATGTGACAGCCAGTACACAGTTTGTGTTGTAGGCGTATGCCATGGGTGGGGATGTTGACGGGTCAGTGTATTTTGCTCTAGCTATATCCTCAGCTGGCAGAATGTTCCTTGAGGCTATACCAACTGGAGCAAGCTGGTGCAGCGTCCTAGCAGGCTCTCACTTAACCCATGGCTAGGCTCCAGGAAGAGAATAAGGGAGCTGTAACTGGATGTGCAATGGCCTCTCCCATTCCTCTGTTATGCCAAAGTATAGAATCAGGGCATCCTGGAGTAATTAAGTGACTGAACAATCCAGAATGTAAAAAATTGTGGTAAAGGTCCACCCCCAACATGACATTAATACAGGGTTTAATGTTAAGGGTCTGGTTTAAACCCTCGTGACTAAGGAAAAAGCAGTTTACACGGTGACAAATACATCCTAAGGCAAAACCTGTGTTGTTTACTTGACAGAATCCTAGCTGGAATGATTGCACAGAGCTCTCCCTATTTACAGACCAGAGGAGAACACTAAACAGCTCTGTGGTATATTGCTGTACTTTATGAAACCACATTCATCTTTGTAAGTGAACTAAAAATGAGATAAAATAAGAGCTCCCAGGTTAAAATTAGTTATGGGTGGTTCCATCTGGTACTGGGTAGAAGGGTTTTGTTTGTTTGTTTGTATTTAACAGCATCTTGTTTTCACCTCCTATAGGAAATTCAACAAAGGCATGGCCTGGCCAACTCTATCTCCTCCTATTTAATCAAGCCTGTCCAGAGGATCACCAAATACCAGCTTTTACTGAAGGTAACTAATGATCTAGTCTAATGATCTAGTTTGATTAGCCACATTGTTCAAATGGGGGACAGTCTCCGAGAGAGTAACTTAACTAGCAGGGAATAGTGGCCTGGAGCCACAAGATCTGGGGGACTATGATAGGATGTATTAGGTTCAATTAGAAGCCTAGATGTAAGCCTGTGTAAGGGGAGTTAGTGGATATAACACTTCCTCTTACTCTGCTTAGGAAGCTAACTGCATTGTCAAATCCTACAGACAAATCATACAGACAGGGATTTGAACAGCTGCTGTAGGTGGGCCTCCCTTCTACAAAGATGGCAGAGGATGGAGTAGAGGGGCCAGGAGTGGACGGAGCTTTGGCTTACTCCTCACTTGCTAACACGACAACTAGTACAGCTGATCTGATGCTGAGGTGGAATTAAGTTGGACCAGGAAAAAAGCTGTAAATAAGAATCTGACTCAAGAAGAAGGGTTATCCAGTGGTTAGGGAGACCTAAGTTCAAGTCCTTACTCCAACGGTCTTCTTGTGTAGTGTTGGACAGTGGGAGTTAGGCATCAAAAACACCTTTAAAAACCTGTTACGTAATTAGTCTGCATCATAGGGCTCCACTTCCCACCTCACAGGAGTGTTCTGAAAACAGATCTAGTACAAAATGTGTGTGAACATTGCCATGCCTATCTGCTGGTGGCTTTCAGACCTTTTGTAAGTGACTGCACAGCGAATGCTGGCAGAGGAGAAATTGGTCCACCCAGACCATTTGTCTCGTGAAATGGTGTGAAAATCATAAATTGATATGATATTGCCTCTAGAAAATTCAAGCCAATTTTTCAACCATAAAAGCCCAACAAGTTCTTTTACCAATTCAGTGAAATTACCAAGTTTTTGTAAATGCACACCATAGGGTTAAGTATCACGTGTTAAAGAATATATTTACTTGTGCATTAATAACATTGGCAATTAAACTAGAAAAATTGCAAAGCTACAATTTACTTTTCACCATTAATGCTGTTTATTTACCGTTTGCATTTCAGCCATCTTGGCCAATAGAAATAAGCTAGTCAGTTTCTCTTGTGTTTATTGCCACTTTCTTTTACTATGTATTATATCAGTGATCCCTAACGCGGTGCCCGCAGGTGCCATGAAGTCTGCCAGAGCATTTATGTGTGCCCACCGAAACATCTGGGCTGGCCCCGCCTCCAGCGCGCAGCACATGCGTGGTGCTGGCCCCGGGCGCGTGGCGCATGGGCGGTGCCAGCCCTGGGCTCAGGGCGTGTGGGCAGCCCCTACCCCCAGCGCACAGCACATGCGTGGCCTTGCCCCCGGAAGTGCAGCGCGTGAGCGGCCCCGCCCCTGGGCGCCTGGCAGCCATGAAAGGTTGGGGACCACTGTATTATATACTATGCAGTGCTACAGTATTCAGCATTCCTACACGGCAGGGCAGAGCTCTCAATTCACTTTCAATATGGAGAGTGATATCTAAAAATTAAGTCTGTTGCCAGCTCATTTTCTGAAACGTTTATACCATCAACTTGCATTTGAGGGTAATCCCCATCCCAAGAGGACACAAGGGGGGTGACAAAAGGGGACTGGTCTAACTCTTATTGAAATCAGTGGAAAGAGTCCTATTGACTTTGATGACAGTTTAATCATCCATAAAACCTTGAATTGTAAAACAGAGAGAGGGAAAGAAAGACTAAATTGGAAAAGAGAAATATTTTGGAGAAAAAATGTTTTGGAGGGGAAAAAAAGAACTTCTGAGGGGAAACATTGTGGTGCTTTACAAATGACAGAAGAAAAGATGCATGAAGAGGATTAGTAGACACAAACAGATTGATTCTTCCTAGGAACTGAGCTCTGAACATTCAATCTAGCCCTAAGAGAAAAAAGGAAAGACAGGGAAAATCCAAGGGAGATAGAAGTGTGGTGTTTTTGTTTTGTTTTGTTTTGTTTTGTTGTTGTTTGTACAGTAAGTTTGAGGAGTGAAATGAGGAGTAACGGTAGTTCGAACTAGGAAGCCTAGTTCGAACTACCTAGTTCGTGCCCCGTGTAGCCGCGCTGCACGGGGTTCGAACCAGCGGGGTTTTAAAAATGGCGGCTCCCCGCTTATGCAAATGAAGCCCGGGAAATTCAAATCCCGGGCTTCATTTGCAAGTGCGGTATGCCTACATTACCCTCCTAGTTCGAACTAGGAGGATAGTGTAGACATACCCTATGAGTGTCCACATGGCCTTTCATGCAATTAACTTTCATCCATTTAAAATCTCACTTTTAATTAACCTGATGCAGCATTGCATGGAGACCACATATTAGGCTGGGAGATGGAATCTAAATTTAAGTGAGTGCACATTATTCAGCCTGTAAAGAAGTTAACAATATATGGCCTGTGTTTCTTCTTAGGAACTGTTAACCTGTTGTGAAGAAGGCAAAGGAGAACTCAAAGATGGCCTAGAAGTGATGCTTAGTGTCCCCAAGAAAGCCAATGATGCCATGCATGTCAGCATGTTGGAAGGTAGCAGATTCTCAAAATCATGAGGGGCAAAGCTATGCAGGGATGAATCCTGGGGTGTCTTGTTGCCTAGAGTTTGTAGTGACAGGTTTGTGATTGCTGACTGTCCATTGCTCTCCGATACTTCCTAGCTCCTCACACCTGGAAAAGGAGAGGAGTGTTCAAGCAAGCAATAAAAGCAGTGTATTGTATCTATCTGTGCAGCACCTCATGAGATAGTGATTAAAATTGCTGATGGCCAAATCAGTAAGGAAAATTAAAAATCCATCCCTCCTAAACTCTGCTGGCATTTACATCAAAATGAGCCAAACCATTTCTGGAAATCTAATATTTGAGTGTTTTTCACTTTGGTGTCGTATGAAAGACAGAAATGCAATATTCTTACACAAGAAACAGTACCTCTCAAAATCAAAAGCTACGGATAGCATGTCTGAGGCTTGCATAAATATCTGGAAGGTTTTTTTTAATTAATTGAACTTAAACTCTAAACTTATAGAGCCTAATTCTAATGTCATACCAGTTTTATACTAATATAACTCCATTATCTCCAGTGGAATTTCTCTTGCATCACACTGGTGCGAGACTAGAAAGACCCCGTAAGATTTACCTACATCTGGTTACAATGACCATATTATAAATTAAGCTAAAATGAACATGGCACAGTGTTCATTATTAAAGGCTTTATTATGTCATTTACAAGTAATTAAGCTTGTGGTGGCATGCACAGTATTCGATACATTTGTGCCCTATATACACTTGTCACCATTAAAATCTTTACAGTGTTTCCCCTTGCCTAATTAATGTTGTTATGCACAATTACTGCTGAAAGCACTAAAGGTACACATTCAACAGCAATAGGTATAGTTAGGCTATGACATACTAGATACCAAAGAAACAATTAATCCAGAGCAGCAGAGAATAAAGTGAACAATATTCTGACTGTGACATGCCTTTCCTCAATATCCATTCAAGAATGAGTTGCATAATAAAGCATGTGACTCTTTCCTAACACTGTAATCCTCTGAACAGTGAAAACCTCCTTTGTTGTACATTTGGGGTGTTGGTTCCAGGAACAAAACTGCATAAAATGTTCTGTTGTTTCATTTAGGCTTTGATGAAAACCTGGATGTTCAGGGAGAACTCATCCTTCAGGATTCCTTCCAAGTGTGGGATCCCAAGTCTCTCATTCGGAAAGGCCGCGAGAGACACTTGTTTCTCTTTGAAATCTCTTTGGTTTTTAGCAAAGAGATTAAAGATTCTTCAGGACACACTAAATATGTTTACAAGAACAAACTACTGGTAGGTCTACCAGCATGAAATATACTGGGTTTCTGTTTTCTGTAGGTAGAGGTAGAAGGGAAGGCTTATTTGTCTTTGCATTGAGTTTGGAATATTTAGGCTCACTAAGCCTGCTGTATCTGAAAAGCAAACCGCAGAGAGCATCTGGAAAGGTTAAAGATGATGGGATACATAGTGGTTGGGGTGGTGGCAATGGGGTTCACCTGACCTGATCAAACACCTCTCCATTGCCATCTCTTGTTTATGGTTTTGTTTTTATTTTATTTAATTAGTGTAAATACCAAAGGAGCTGAGCTCCCACCCCCAGTGTAAAAATTTTTGAAACCAGGAGGTTCCATTCATAATGTATGGTTTCCAGTCATCTTTCCTTCTCACTAGACCTCAGAACTGGGAGTAACAGAGCACGTTGAAGGAGATCCCTGTAAGTTCGCCTTGTGGTCTGGACGGACACCATCCTCAGACAACAAAACAGTGCTGAAAGTGAGTCTTTTGAGCTTGTTTTCTTTGCCTGCAAAGCATTAAATTTCCAACTGAGGACTGGCAGTGCTAAATGAAAGGCCAGAATTTGGCTCTTAATATATAAGCCAGATCAAGAAGGTTTAATTATGCAGTTCGTCAGCCCACTGCAGTCCTCTTCCTATTACAGCATATGTGTTGAGCTCCTGCAGAATCTAACTCAGCATGCTTCTGAGTTGGGATTTCTGTTTACATTCAAGACTATAATTGCTTCAGATGATTGGCCCTGGATTCATTGGCAGTAGTGCTTTTCTTCAAAGCCACAAAGCTGACAATCATTTCGCTGATTGAATTCTTAAAGAACTCACAGTAGATATTTTGTTTGAGAAATACTAGCTGTGCACTGATCACCTCTTGTCTCAGCATAAAGCATTTTGTATTTCTTTTATTAAATATACATCCAGAGATTAACTGCTCTCATGCTGCTTGTTGAACTTGCCAGGTAGGTATGGCACAAACACACTTCCAGTTCTGCAAGGTTTACCAGGTATTCCAGCAGCTGTGTCAGTGGAGTGGAGAATAGTGATGAAAAAAAATGTATTTAATAATCTAACCATGTAAGAGCTGAAAATCCTAGTGTTTACACAGGTTACACACTGCAGGCTCCGCAGTATAAGCTTATTTAAGAGCCCACAGCAAAGCCTCCCCGGGAGTGAGACCTGCAGGGGCTGCTGTCACCACTCCCAGCAAAGCTGCTTCCCTGAGAGCAGAGCTGGCAAGAGGGCTGCCGGCCCCGCTCCCAGGGAGCCAGCGTGTAGCCTGAGACAGATTGCCCAGGCTGGGCCCATCACTGAGAGACACAGACATCACTGTTTAGGATAGTTGGTTAACCTTTCACATCCATCCCTAGGGGAGAACCAACAGTGAAACAGCCCATCACGTGTTAACATCAACAAATTATGACTCTTCTTACACCGGAGATATGACAAGAATATTATAATGTGCCTATCGTTTTGTCTTTTGGAACTTCAGGCCTCCAGTATTGAAACGAAACAGGAATGGATCAAAAATATCCGGGAAGTCATTCAGGAGAGGATTATCCATTTGAAAGGAGCTTTGAAGGAGCCAATCCAGCTCCCCAAGACACCAGCAAAACAGAGAAATAACAGTAAAAGGTAACCTCAATGATTCCATAAACAATGCTCTCCTTGGGAACTTGATTTTCTATTGGGGCTGCTTTCTTTAGCAGTGCAGGTTTGCTCAGCTTAGTTAATTGAATAGAAATTTTAAAAAATCATTTCAACTGTTTGAGCAAAAAAAATCAGTCAAGTTACATTTAAAAAAAATCACAGACCCGATCACATTATTAATTACATACAATTAAGCTCCTTTGATTTTATCATAGAAGGAGAGTGTCTTTAAAAACAACGAGTAGTCCTGTGACACCGTAGGGCATGTCTACACTAGGAAATCATTTTGAAATAACTAAATTTGAAATAATTACTCCCAAAATAACTATTTCCAAATAAGCTTGTTCCCCCAGGAAAGCAGGAATACAGATTTCAAAATAACCAGCTCCTTAGTTTGAAATAACGGGTTTGGTATTGTGAATGCTCCGCTTGCTATTTCAAAATAAGGGGAATTATTCTGAAATAACTCTCTAGTGTAAACCAGGGCTCACAGACTAACAAATATATATAGTATCATGGAGCTTTTGTGGGCAAAGCCCACTTCCTCAAATGAGCAGGACCGTATCTGTTAGCTTTTTACTAGATTCACATAGAATTTTTTACTATAACTTTGATTTTTTACAAACTTTGATTTTTGACCATGAAATGGAATTAAAAATGTAATGAAAGCCTTTTCTGTAGAAACCAACCAGACTTTTTCAAATAAAAATATTCACCCTCCCCACAAAACTACTAGTGAGATGTAAACTTACAGTGAATTAACTGCTGGAACAAAATTATCCATTGAATCCAAGGATGTTTCTCTTGCCAGTCTAATCTGAAGACGAGTCTACTTCTCACAAGCAAGCATCTGCATAATCTTTTTTCTTGATCAATTTTATGTACCATGTGACAATAAAAATAATAGGTGGTCCTGATAGTATATGAATGACAAGTAATAAGAAATAAGAAGACGACTTTTATGGACAATAATGTGGAATACTTGGTTAAAAAATGATACAAAACATTGTTCCTTTCACTGTGTTAAATAAGGTTCCAATCCTGCATTGGGATCCATTAGAATAGACCCCGATGAGCCCATGTAGAATCAGTCTGTCAGTCTGTCTGAAGTATTATAGAGCCTCCATTGAGCTCCTCTCAATCTTTAATATGTTCATTTTTATAACATCTCTGAGAAATAAGTCAATGCTTTGATCCCCGTTTCCCCATTTTACTGACAGGGAACTAAGGCACAAAGCGGCTAAGATCCAGATTTTTAAAGGTGATTAAGTGTTGTGTCACTTAATATTGCAACATCTAACTGATTTAGGAGCTTAAGCCTCATTTTCAAAAGTGAGCTAGGCACTTAGGAGCGTAAGTCATTGAAAGTCAGTGGGACTTCCGAATGTCTAAGTCACTTCTGCCAGGCTGAGTGGAGCAACACCCACATAACCTTTAACCATCCAGACCAAAGTGATGTGCCTGCAGTTTCACAGGAAATCTGTGGCAGAGTAGGAAACTAAACCACAGACTGTCCCCCTAACATTTCCAGCATCCTTACCCTCATACTGTTGTGTACTAATCTCAGTAACAACATTTTAAACAGAGGGGGAGAAAGATTCAAAAGAAAGGCATTTCTAGAAGGAAGAAATATCCTATGCCAGCAGACTGATCTGGTTATTTATTTTCTTATTTATTTATTTATTTTTACAAATCTTAGTTTTACAAGCCTATCATTTTTATCCTAATTTTAAACCCTCAAAAATGTGGATTACAGTGAGACTCCTTCACTTTTGTGTCGTGAACAGCAATACTGTAATTTGGATAGCCGGTTTTGGTTAAGTGAGAAATCTAACATAAGTGGAATATCTGCCTACCACCCTTATTAGGGAGCTATTTCCAGGAGCAAGGCTTTTGTTGCTGTAAATATGGACACAACAGCCATTCCTATTCCAGCAATAAACATGGTGATAACATGCAAAATTCTAACCCTACAGCAGAGGTGACATAATTTTAAATTACACAGCATGGAATAATATGAGCTTCATCAGTGGAGTAATCTTAGCACAAAGCTTGCCCTGATGTGCTGAATTGGCAGTTCTCAAATCCACCTATGAATTTTTGCACTTCCCAAGGCTGGCGCTTTAAGTTAACAGGGCTGTTTTCTTTTTCTCTCCTTGCAGAGATGGAGTAGATGATGCAGACAGCCAAGGAGATGGGAGCAGTCAGCCTGATACCATTTCCATTGCATCCAGGACTTCACAGAACACAGTGGACAGTGACAAGGTAGGATCTACCGCTGAATATGCACTGCATATAACTCCTCCCAGGAGAATTTGGGGTAGAAGCAGAATAGAAAGAGAGACCAAAAAACTAACTCTTTATGGAGGTTCTTTAGCTATATTACACTTGGGAATCCCTTTGCTGAGGTATTAAAAATCTGGCTATTCTTATGCTACTCCTCAGTATTACTGTGGTACACGGTTAGCCCCTCTTGTTACTGGCTCTGAGGTGCAGCATGTATCCTGTGTGTTAAAACTGAGAGGTTGAGTAGGCCATGAAATAACACAGCCCAGAGCAACTTTTTTTCTTATTAACTCTGTCCCAGAGTGAGCCAGATTGTGAATTGCCAGACAGTTGGTTATCTTCTATAATTGCCATATTAGTGCCAAAAAGTAGTCTATTGGATGGTCCATAGATGCACACACAGCAATTAACAGAACAAGACTGAAATGCAAGCTGCTCCCTATTGTGTAATCATGAGAGGCTGGGAGGCCTTCTTCTCTTCCAGATTCTGTAATTCTGGAATCCATTCCTTCTTGACATATGGTGGAACACATCTGTGGCACCCTTGAGGCTCGTTAGATTCCGTTTTAATCTTGTATGTTGTTCTGTGCATGTGATTGTGTTATTTATTGAACAATCAGAGGGTTTGGTTGTTTGGGTGTGCCATTACTGGTATGAGGATTGACTTGTGTATATTGTCCTAATTCCTCCAACTGTGATCTTTGGCCATATTTCCAGTTTCCAGGAGCACTGATTCAACAGTGATGTTGACTAATAATAATTTATTCCATTTAACATAGTTGGATTTTTTAGATCCTGCAAAAGACCATTTATGCTTTTTCACCTGTTTGGTTTCGAAACTGATGAAAACTTGCAAAATAATGAACTTTCCAGGATCACCTAGCTAGGGGATGTGTGCTTGTCAGTGTTTTTATCGTGCTGCTAGTGGCACTGAATAGAAAATGCCTTTGCAATTACAAGATTGTATCTGTAGTTATCAAGCTCACCAGTGAGCTCCAATATTTCAGAAAAAGAAATACATTGTAAATGAATGATAAAAGGCCCCAAGGTAATATGTTATTGGAACATGCCTTTATTGCTCTCCTGTTTCACCAGTAACTAATCAAGATGTCTGTATTATACAATCTGTATAAGTTCCAAAAGCTACTGAAACTAGGTGAATAACTTGCTAGGTGCTGGAAAATAAATTTTTTCATGTCTTTGATTTACACTGATTTTTTCTGCATTTTGGTATTGTTTGCCTCTTATTCCTGATATAAATGTTTCATCTGAAGAAGTCGGTTGTACCCACAAAAGCTCATGATACCATCTACATGTTTTGTTAGTCTTTAAGGTGCTGCTAGAGTATTCGTTGGCTTTTACGTTTTTCCAGTTACAGGCTAACTCAACTACCCCTCTGCAGCTTATAAATATTCCAATTCAGCAACGCTCTTGAGAGCATGGTTCACTTTAACCATTTGCCTATGTCCTGTCTATAGTTAAGGGCATGGATAAGTGTTTTGCTGAACAGAAATAGATGGAAGCATGTCCTTAAAGCTAACTGTGTACTCAAGTGTTTTGATGAATCAGAGCTATAGACCCAAAGCCAAATCCTGCTAAAATAGGCCCTTGACATCAATGACTCTAATTGTGGGAATAGGGTGAGGAGAGTTTAGCATTCACAGTGCTGCCTTGGAGCACCTTTATACTGAGGAATGGTGTATATTTAATTATCTCATGTCAGTATCTGCTCTTCATATTTCCATACACTCATACTTTAAACACTGAGGTCCTGATCCTGCAGACCCCAAAAGAATACTGAGACCTAACAGAGTACTGTGCTCCTTACATTAGCCTTTCTAAAAGTGGAACAATTTTCTGGGTCTTTGGGGGATTTTAGAATGGGTCTTGAAGAAATATCGGCCCTCATGTGTGGTGCTTTTCTTACATGAGAACTGGAGTGAGGTCTCTTTCGGATGGGGAGGTGTCAGTGGTTTATCTTCTAAGATTGACCAACAGTAAATGATCAGAGAGCTTTGGGGCAGATCTCAGAAAAGCTGCAGCTGCTCTCCAGTGTGCCCCCGGCTCAGCTTTCTTGACACAGCTGCTGACGCTTGAGTAAATTCTGTAACATATGCAGCATAATGTATTCATGTGTTGCAGATAACAGCACTGCTCTGGCACAGATATGTAACAAACCTGTGAGATGTAAATAACACTCCGTCACCATACAACTCCACTGAAGTTAGTAGAGTTACTCTGGCGTTAGTGAAATCAGATTTAGACTCTGAGATTTGTTCCAAATGAAGCCCTTCATTCTGTGACCTCAGTGAAGCCTCTCTTCATGTTTCCTGAATGGATTAAATCCTGAAGAAATCATGGAGAGGCTCCTCCTTTAAAAGCAACACATTATCTCTTCATAAAAACCTCCTTTACAAATAAGAACATAACATAAGAACATAAGAACGGCCGTACTGGGTCAGACCAAAGGTCCATCTAGCCCAGTATCCTGTCTGCCGACAGTAGCCAACACCAGGTGCCCCAGAGAGGGTGGACCGAAGACAATGATCAAGCGATTTCTCTCCTGCCATCCCTCTCCAGCCTCTGACAAACAGAGGCCAAGGACACCATTTTATCCTCTGGCTAATAGCCTTTTATGGACCTAACCTCCATGAAATTATCTAGCTTCTCTTTAAACTCTATTATAATCCTAACCTTCACAGCCTCCTCTGGCAAGGAGTTCCACAGGTTAACTACATGCTGTGTGAAGAAGAACTTTCTTTTATTAGTTTTAAACCTGCTACCCATTAATTTCATTTGGTGTTCTCTAGTTCTTCTATTTAGGGAACTAATAAATAACTTTTCTTTATTGGCCCTCTCCACACCACTCATGATTTTATAGACCTCTATCATATCCCCCCTCAGTCTCCTCTTTTCTAAACTGAAAAGTCCCAGTCGCTTTAACCTCTCCTCATATGGGATCCGTTCCAAACCCCTAATCATTTTAGTTGCCTTTTTCTGAACCCTTTCCAAGGCCAAAATATCTTTTTTGAGGTGAGGAGACCACATCTGTACACAGTATTCAAGATGTGGGCGTACCATAGTTTTTATACAGGGGCAGTAAGATATTCTGGGTCTTATTTTATATCCCTTTCCTAATAATTCCTAGCATCCTATTTGCCTTTTTGACCGCCGCTGCACACTGCGTGGAAGTTTTCAGAGAACTGTCCACGATAACTCCAAGATCTCTTTCTATAGTTGGGGTTATTTTTCCCGATGTGCATTACTTTACACTTACCCACATTAAATTTCATTTGCCATTTTGTTGCCCAATCACTCAGTTTGGTGAGATCTTCTTGGAGTCCCTCACAGTCTGTTTCTGTCTTGCAAAGCTACTTCATGTGTTAGCATTAGCAACATGTCAGCCAGTTGAGGGACAGATCAATATGCATTGGAACATTTATATATTAACTCTTCACTAGAAATGATAAGGTTGACACAGTCTTCTAAGATCAAGAAAATTCAAAGCTAAACCCAACGCACGTTGTCCTTTTCTTAACACCAGCCATTATGCCTGGGGATTACCCAGTGCATAATTGAATGTTAGGGGAAATGAATGACATGCGTCATTTTGGGCTAAAACAGCCACAGAAATTTTTGAGTTTTTGCAGTGCCAACAATATTCTAACACTTGTATTTGTTCACGCCCTTCAGCTGATAGCCACACACATTTATTTCAGATTTTATTTTAAAAAAACCAAATCTCTCCTGGTTGAGAATAAGTTTAATTCCTCTCATATGTCAAACTTCAGCCTTAGAGCAAATTTTGTACAACTATGCTTTTAATTCCTGAGAGAAGGGGGCAGAATTTAATGGAAACACTGACACAGCTGTTACTCCAGTAACCTGAACAGGAATGTTCATTGTCTCTAAGTATAGATTAATTAAACAGTAAGACTTAGCAAAGGAGGTAGTATAGTGTAATAGGGGGGGGGGGGGGGGAATAACCTGGACTTTAATTCTGGCTCTGGCTCTGACCTGCTTTTTGTCCTTAGAAAAGTCACTTCACTTCTTTATGCCTCTGTCTCCTCATATCCTTCATTTTATTGTTTAAATTGTAAGCTTTTTAGGGCAGATACTGTCTCTCACTGCATGTTTGCCAACACTTTGGGCCTGGATCTCAGCTGAAGACTTTAGGCAGCACTATAATATACAGCAGTGCTTCTCAAAGTCATCTGTGAAACTACTATGAGAAAGCTGCTAACTGGCTGTGCTGGTGTGTTTACCAGTGCCATGGCCACAGAGCCTCACAGCTCCCATTTGATCCAGTTTGCCATTTGCAGCCAAGGGGAGCTGCAGGAAGTGGTGTCCCAACCCACACTGCTTCCTGCGGCTTCCTTTGGCTGCAAATGGCGAACCAGAACTAATGGGAACCACAAGATTCCATGGCCATGGTGCCAGTAAATAAGCACACCAGTGCAGCCAATTAGCAGCTTTGCCAAAGTTGTTTCACAGACCACTTTGAGAAACACTGATATAAAATAATAATAATGAATGACATTCGCATCTCTTAGACTTAGTGGCTATGTCTACACTGGCGAGTTCTTGCGCAAGAACAACCGTTCTTCCGCAGAGCATCCACACTGCCCGCCCACTCTTGCACAAGAAGATTTACAGTAAAGCGGGGAAAGAGAGGGCTTCTTGCACAAGATCTATGCTCTTTTCTAACAAGTGTAAGTGCGCAATAGGGCAGTGTAGACGTGTGACAGGGGCTTCTTGCACAAGAAAGTCCTATGGCTAAAATGGCCATCAGAGTTTTCTTTCACAAGAGAGCGTGCACACTTCCATGGATGCTCTTGCGCAAAAGCACATGGCAGTGTGGGCGTGTTCAAGAGTTCTTGCACAAGAACCCTTGCGCAAGATGTTCTTGCACAAGAATCCGCTAGTGTAGACGTAGCCAGAGTGTTATTCAGAAAATAAGTGCCTGACTTTAGATGTGT